AGCTCAGGACACACCCCTATGGGTACCCGGGACCATCTGTGTTCCCGTAAATTAAACGTTCCCCTTCCCGAATATCTCACCGCTTCGTCGTCCATGAAGGAGCCGCTCGCCGTGGAGTCTCCCTGGGCGTCCGAAGATTGCTCCGCCTCCTGGTAATACCCGCCGCTGTAATACTCCTGCTGCGAGAACAATAAAGATACGGATGGAACCGTAAAGTATACATAAAAGGAGGACCTGCACTGCCTCTACCAAGATGGCCGCCCTCCATACAGAGAAACCCCCCCCCATCCCTGTGCTGAGTTCCCGGGTCTGTACACCCGCTGTGCCCATTATGAGGCGTTCCCACCATCCCTGTGCTGAGTTCCCGGGTCTGTACACCCGCTGTGCCCATTATGAGGGGCTCCCACCATCCCTGTGCTGAGTTCCCGGGTCTGTACACCCGCTGTGCCCATTATGAGGGGCCCCCACCATCCCTGTGCACACCTACCGGATAGTACGCCGATGTGGGGGGGTTGCTGTAGTCCTGATACTGGCTGCTGTACTCCTCGGTGGACACGGCCGGCCACGGTTGGTTGGGGTTCGGAGCAGCCGGCGTCTTGAACTCCAGAGGGGCATTTGCTGCGTCGTCTTGTACCTGGGCGGGATCTTCCTCTGGGGGGGCATCTTCAGTGGCCGGGGGGAGGGGGTAGGTATAGGTCTCGGGGGGGGCCATGGCCGCCTCGTTGTTGTCCGTCAGGGAGAAGAAGTTGCCCTGTTGGAACTCCTCGTCGCTCTCCTCGTCCTCCTCCTGCGTGATCTGCTTGGTGACCTGCAGGGCGGCGTTCTTGGCGGCGGCTTTGATGGCCGAGGGGGACGGGGTGTGGGAGACCTCGGGGGTGGCGCTCAGCTTGGGTTTGGACATCTGCTTGGGGAGTTTTGATTCGCTGGGAGGCTTGGATGGTTTCCTTGTGAAGCTGTAGGGGAGGAGCTGACGTTTGGGGTCTCCCCCAGGGGCGTTCCTCGGCTGAGGGAGTAAGGAGGACAATCCAAACCCTTCCTTGGGGGCCTGAAAGACCACAAAGAGAGTCCGTGAGCTTAGTATAGTGTGTACGAGAACTGCCACGCCCACCAATGTAGGGGGACACCACACAGACCACCAATGTAGGGGGACGCCACACAGACCACCAATGTAGGGGGACGCCACACAGACCACCAATGTAGGGGGACGCCACACAGACCACCAATGTAGGGGGACGCCACACAGACCACCAATGTAGGGGGACGCCAGTGCGCCACACCGACCACCAAAGTAAGGGGGCACCACGCCACTTACCTGACTTGTTGCTTTCTTCCGGAATGGTTCGTCTTCCTCTGAATCCGACTGGAAAAGAAATGAGAGACAATCACTGATGACGTCACACCGACCCTCATATACAATAAGAAATGACCCGGCATCCCCACAAACGTGGGCCCGGACCTCTATACCCCGGCCCTGAGCAGCGTGGCTCCCCATCATGTGATCACCGGGTGAGCTCCCCCATCATGTGATCACCAGGTCAGCTCCCCATCATGTGATCACCGGGTCAGCTCCCCATCATGCGATCACCGGGTCAGCTCCCCATCATGCGATCACCGGGTCAGCTCCCCATCATGTGATCACCGGGTCAGCTCCCCATCATGTGATCACCGGGTCAGCTCCCCATCATGTGATCACCGGGTCAGCTCCCCATCATGTGATCACGGGTCAGCTCCCCATCATGTGATCACCGGGTCAGCTGACACGGCGATCACATGATGTTTGTTTGTAAACAAAACCTCTCGGCTCCACGTTCTCCGATCCTTACATCTCCACCACCGCGGAGCTCCGGAACGCTGATCCTCACGGGCTCCGGCCGCTTCCTGGGCTTGGAATTTCCAGAAGTCTCGCTCTCTGGGGGCGGGAGGTTCAGTCCGTGGCCGGCAGGTTTGGGGGGAGGCATGCGTGGCTCCGCGCCGGACG